TGCATATTCCAAGTCAACGAGATTATTCCCGGTAGCAAGTCAATCCCTGAGTCGCTGAAGTCACCTAGGGTTAAGTCCATTAACACATCTATGATGAAGTTGAATAGAAAAGGAGATAATGGGCATCCTTGACGGACACCACTGGTCGTCATCAGTTCAGATGACAGCTCGCCGTAAGCCCTCACCTGGCTGTATGAGTACGAGTAGAGTGCCTTAATCAGTGCAATATATTTTCTCGGAATTCCCTTTACAGCCAAGCATCTCCAGAGAACTTCTCGATCGACAGAGTCGAATGCTGCCTTTAGGTCAAGAAATATAATGACTGTTGGACGCCGGTAGGAATGCCTATGTTCTAGAATCTGTCGGAGGGTGAAGATATGATCAATACACCCTCTTCCTGGTCTAAAGCCTGCCTGGCTCTCTCGTGTTTGTGCCTCCCGAGCACCACTCAGTCTACGCATGATTATTGAGCCTAAGACTTTAGATACTATATTAGTCAAGCTAATCCCTCTGTGATTATCACAGGAAGACTTGTCTCCCTTCTTGTATATGGGGATAATCAGTGACTTACACCAACCCGATGGGACTTCTTCTGATTCCCAGACGCTGCCTAGTACCTCAGTTAATCCGGACAGTAAGCTGTCTCCACCGTACTTAAATACCTCTGGAGTCATTCCATCAGGTCCCGCTGCTTTGCCTAGTTTCAGATTGGTGACAGCTTTAGTAACCTCAGTTAGTGACGGAGGACCTGTGTCTATATCCCATTCAGGGAGGTGTTGGATGCTCGGAAGGTTGAGCGTGGCTGTGGGCAAATTAAACTGCTCCTCATAATGCTCTTTCCAACGATCCAGTCGTCTATCCTGGGAGCTAATTATAGTGCCATTTTTTTCCGAGATTGTCTCACTAATGATTTGTCTTCTCCCACCCGTTTCCCTGATGAGTCTAAAGAGTTGCCTGGTGTTGCCTATCCTCGAAGCTTTCTCCATCTCTTTGGCTTTTGTCGCCCACCACTGTTCACGGTCCTTGCGGAGACTTTTCGTAAGTTTCCTCTTGTGCAGCTTTCGCTCCTCATTGAATTCGGAGCTCGCCGGAATAAGTCTTCTAGCATCTATCAGTTCGGATGAGGCGGTGGAGATCCAGTGGTTTTTACTCACCTTTGGGTTTACCTTATTCACAGCTTTTACAGCTGTATCTATGGCTGCCTGGATATTTTTCCAAGCTTCTTCAGGGTGAGCACAGCTGTCGAACACAGATATGTGTTTAGCTAGTTCTTCCTCAAATACGGATTTAGTTTCCTGATCGAGCTGGGGACGTGATGGTTTTACCGCCAGCTGTTTCCTACGTCCGTTCAGTCGTAAGCACACCCGAGCGCGGACCAGTGCATGGTCGGTATCTACGCACGTGTTCCAGAAGGAGCGACAATCTCCTACCGACCCACGCCAACGATAGCTTATTGCTATGTGGTCTATTTGTGTCCAGCGTTGGTTTGATGAAGGGGGTCTCCAAGTCAAACAGTGTCTCTCCTTGTGTTTGAAGTTAGTGCTTACAAGAAACAAATGATTATCAGAACAGAACTGTAGGAGACGGTCACCGTTGTCGGTTCGCTGGCACGGAACTCCATAGGTGCCACCGACATCCTTCTCAGATTGACACAATTTCCCTACTTGAGCGTTAAAGTCACCAGCTAGAACGACTATGTCTGAGCGTTTAGCCTTTCGCACCAAACTAGACAGCTTTTGGTAGAACTCATCCTTCGTTTCATCTGAACTGCAGTCAGTGGGGGCGTAGGCGGAGATTACGAAAAGGCATCGGCGAGTAGTGCAGTCCTTTCTCCTTCTTACTGATCCGTTCAGACGGACAGCACACATTCGGCTATCTACCGGGATCCAGTCAAGCAATGTCTTTTCTGCCCTAGTACTCAAAGCTATCCCTACACCAGCTAATCCTAGTGAACTAGCTGGCGTCAGTGGCACAGCGGTTAGGACGCTCGCCGAGCATGCACATGATCCGGGGTTTGATCCGCGGCCGACGCACCCCTTTACCTCTCTAAGACAGAAATAATGGTGGTAAAGATCAAAGGTTGGGCATAAGGTAGCTAGCATCCCCATCCTGTAAAATAAACACCACTGCTGCAGAAACTTCAAGCCACTAGCTTGAAGCCCTCGCTATGTTCCACTGGGAACGTGAAGGGAAAAAAATAACTTAATGACAATTTGTTGGTGGAGAGTAGGATCAAAGAAAATAGGTCTTGTCTATTTTAAGTATTAGTGCTTTCAGTTAGATTAGCCTATTAGCTATAAGCTCTTGAGTGTTATAAAATGAGGCGACGAGTAATAAAAATGATCATTATATTATTATTATTGTTTCCTTTAGTTTCTAGGGGAACATAGGGCTCCAGCCAAACGTCTCCATTGCGTCCGGTTCTCTGCAAACGTTTCTCAGGCTCCACATCTGCCCACATGCTTTCATCTCCTCTTCACATGACCTCCGCCATGTCACCCTCGCACTGACGACCAACTCGCCGCTTCCCGTTGGGATTCTACTCGAGAGCCTGTCTTGTGATGTTACTCGATGTTTTTCTCAGGGTATGGCCAATCCACCTCCATTTCTTCCCGCATATTTGTTGCACAATCGGTTCTTGGTTGGTTCGTTCCCAGAGATCCTTGTTGCTGATCTTTTCTGGCTGGCCATCTGATCTTCAGTAGTATTCAGCAAAGACAGCTGTTGATGAAGGTCTGTAGTTTATTTGAGGTGCTCTTCATGACGCGCCAAGTCTCTGATCCATAAAGTAGCACTGACTTCACATTAGAGTTGAAAATCCGCATCTTATTTTCCATGCTGAGTGCTGTTTAAAAATAATACTCAACAAATAGTGGCTGCATATATGTATATATTTGCATCGGTGGCACAGTGGTTAGGACTCTCCCCAACCATGCACATGGTCCGGGGTTCGATCCCCTACCGACGCACACCTGATATCTATGGTCTGCCTGTGAAATTTGGGCTACCGATATCCATGCTGAAAATTCCATACTTGTACCAAAAATACGCTGTGGAATCAAGCTGTAATCAAAAATAAAAAAATAAATAGATTCTCATGTTGTTGCACTAGTTAATATTCTGTGGTCATCACTCTGAGATTCATATCAGGTTTAGCTTCATAGGGAAGTATATTTATCGTAGGTATCATGAATATTTTAAGTGCTCAGCAACTTTTGAATAGGCTGGGTATCATGAGGTGATGCATTAAGGTGCGAGAGGGTAGGGGTAGATGAACTTTACTCTCCTGTAAAGTTATTTATTTATAGGACTATTTTTTAGTTTTTAAAATGATTACTGCGTTTGAATAGATTTTCCGCTTATACAACCCCTAAATTACCATTTGTCAAATTTCAATTGTACTATATAATTGCATTCTAAGATGTGTTTCACTTTTCTAACCTGAAATTATTGACATAATTCATCCGTCTTGTTGTTTACCAAGGTCACTACTACAGAGATGCAAGCCTAGCGTATCTTAACATTTCGAAGTGTAAAACTACAGGATTAATCTGTTTCAGTTTATAGTTTAATGGTATACAGTGAAATGGTTTGAATGTGTTTATCACTTCACCTCTCTTGGAAGTTACTTAGACGGTAATGGAATGATTGCTGATAAAGTCTTAGCACGAATACAGGAAGTGTTATTTAATATTTGCCAGTTTGAGTCATCTTTAACTCTGGTGTGATATCTAGCTAGTCATGAAAGGGTGTGTATACTGTGCAGAATTTCTTCTTGCTTTTGTAGCTCTATTAAAACCTAAGAATTAATATTCAAAACAATGGGAAGCTTAATGCACAAGTTGTCGTACTTTTCAATAGTGTAGAGAAAAAAACAAACCAGCATGTACAAAAGACATTAGAAAACTGAACAAGTGTGTCGTAGGTCCTAATACCATAGTAACGTAGTAAATACGACTGAATAAAACAGTTGTGTATACGAATTACAGGATTTTCTATTGGCACAGCAAGAGCTTTAGCTGGACAAAAATCGATATAAGCTAAATCCCTTTAAGCGAATAGATCTTAAAAAGGAAAAAAACCCAGATGACTTGAGACAACACTCGAGCTACTGATTATTCTGTCTTCTCCTCTCGACACTCATATCAAAAGATAAAGACATTTAGAGAACTGAAGAGTGTATTTGCGTCGGTGGCGCAGAGGTAGAATGCTCGCCGACCAACGCCTAATGTGGTCCGGGGTTCCGTCCCCGACCGATGCACTCCTTTACCTCGCTAAGCCAGTAATAAGACTGGTAAAGAAGGAAGATTGGGTATGAGACTAGCAACCCCACCCCGTAAAAATAATCATCACTGCTACGGAATCTTCAAGCCTGAAGCCTTATGTTCCACTGGGAACGTAAAGGAATAAAAAAGACTGCTTGATGTCATAACAGCAAGTAACGTGATACGCATACACAGATGTTACTAACACGTGGACTTCATCTTTGATGTTTCAATAAACAAGATCAAATGAATCATTACGCTGATACGTGGTAGTTAGATATTTGATTAATAGGATTGTGGTCTATAGGCTCTTCACTATCAATCATTGGGTTATGGGTTCGAATCCCACTTCACCTACAAAGGTTTAAGGCAACCAGGTAGTATTACTAGTCCCCACACACAATACTTCTGGCTCATTGCCAAGTGCAAATAGTTGTTGAGGTACAATCTAAGCATTTAATTGTAGTAGAAAAATATGAACTAAGTACTTGTACACAACTCCAGTCTGTTTTGTAATGATTGCGTATGTTTGGCACTCACTTTCTTTAAATTTCCAGATACACTTTGCCTATGATTGTCGACAAGTTCACAATTTAGGTTGGGATTTTGTAACCTAATTATTTTAAAACATCTACAAACAATTTCTTGAGATGTATCAACCTTTGCATTTGCAAAACATGCATACATACATGTGTAATCATCGCCAACCCCATTGAAATCTCATTATTTTTATAGATTGCTAAGGCGTTAATTTTTTTAAACGATGATGGAAAATTAGCACACAATGCTGTACGCTTAGATAGTGTATTTGTGACTACAGCTGGTGAATGGAAACTGGGTGCTTTAGATTTTGTTGGACCGATTAATGAACCCCCATCATCTTCCCGACAAACGGTTGGTTCCGCAAATGGTAATACAGCAGGTGAGTAGATTTTTTGTAAATCTTTCTACATTACCTTCGTCCTTTCACTGCCCTTCTTTTTGAGCAGTAACTTATCGGTTTAAACGGTAGACTTTCAGCTATCGGATCCTGGATTCGAACCATGGTCCACCTAATTCCAACTGAGCGACTGGTTAGTACTATCAGCCGTCACACAATAAGTGTAATGATGATTTGGTGAAAAAGACGACATAGTATGGTGGTGGTAAACCACATTGAAAGTCCTGTTGGACTTTCTTTCCATTCTGCTGTTAGTGTCGTGCTGTATACGAAAAGAAAATGTGTCATCTTTAGTGTAGCTCCTCCCCTGCTTTCTTGAAAGTGTTCACAATTTTTTCTGCCTGATTGGTGAACTGGGGCTGATAAGGTTGCGTCCTCACTTGCTATACACCCTTTGACAGATTTTGAGCTTATTTCTCTCTCTTCGGGGATGCACTAGGCATTTTTTCGTCCGAAGAAAGATACACACACATAGTGTTAAAAAAATTTCCTAGAAGTGTGGTCTAACCCCCAACGAATCCATGTTTGAATTACTCGCATAGCATGTTTCGATAAACTGGATCTCATGAAAACCGACATCGCACTTTAACTGCCTGCATGCGGTGGTTGCCATCTGATCTGTCTTCTCCATGGTGGGGTATCCTTATTTCTGCCATATCCTTTTCGATATTAACATACCGGATGCTGTGTCTATCTGCAGGTGTGCCGACTGTGATTTGACTGTCACTTCAATGTATTTACGTGTCGCAGGAGTACTGATGTGATAGATAGCTGTAATATTCATAGCTTTTAGCATGAGACCTCGACGGGACCGGTTCCTGGATTTCGGACGGTAAATCTTCTTAAAACAAAAATCTTTGTGTCCAGTAGTACGGGATTGTTGGGATTTATGTTTATATGGGCATGACTTTACGTAGATCCAAGCCCCTGTCTGCTTGTCTGTTTTCAACATAGAACTTTGCACATATGTGCGGAAGTTCAAGTCACCACACTCTCTCCATGTAGCACATAAAGCAAGAAAAGAAAGTAGAAGAAATGCATAATAGAGACAGTAAACAGAGGTGTGAGACAAAGGAATAGTGGTAACGAAGAACAATATAGTTTCATTTGAAATCATAAGTCACAAGGAGTGGATGCATCTGGTCAAGCCATTGAGAACGATTTTGAGCCATATCACCAATAGCTTCCAACCATTGGCTTTTACCGTCCCGAGGACCCCAACCAGTCAGTCAGGAAGTCTACACCTTCCTACATGGCTGGCTTAAACTAAGTGTTGTAGATTTCATTGACTAGTGAAGCATGTTTTGGTTTGACCGCCACTAGCTTTTTTCCAGCCTGACCCTATGTCAGCCAGCTAACATTGCCCGTCGAGGTTGGCGATGACTAGGCATGCGTAACGCATGTCCTAACCATCTCAGTCGATGTAATTTCACAGCCTCGTTGATTGATTTCCCCTCCTTACCTAGAACTCGACCGGAGCCTAACCTCAATATTGCTCACCTTATTATACCCCTTCAACCGGGAGATAGGGCGCAGGCACCTATGATCGAAGACAACTAACCAGGCTTTTCATGTCTTCCACTCTCAATGGCCAGGCCTCGCTCACAGCCATAAAGGAGAATGGAGCGGACTGATGAACAGTACACATGCCTTTTTATCGATAGCCAGCCGGATATCACGTGTACGCGAGAGACGACGTAAACTGGCATATGCGAAACTAGCCCTCTGTATCCGTGCTGAGATTTCGTCAGAAATCAGATCCAAGCCCCCCAGTGTCAACCTGCCGAAGGCAAACTCACGCGAACGATGCAGTAACTTTGACGTCAAAGGTACTGCATGCACGGCATATTTTTTCAGAAGTTATCGTAACCACTAGCGGCAACAAGAGCTAATAAAATAGATACCAAAGGGGGGAGGAGTCGTTGGTAGTTTATGAGATCAGTAAAATGAATCAAGCGTACACCGATAAAAAGTGTACTGAAATGACGATGGTGAGCAGGACACTTAAATTTTAAACGACTGTGACATAAAACTATTAGCCAAATTGATTGAGGTATGAGATAGACGTTGTAAAGACCAGAATTTATCTTCTCTGATTAGTTTTTAATCCGTCACTGTTCTAATCTTCAAGTTTCAGGAGGAAGTTCATGTGTGACTGACTGGTCTCAGGATATAACTTTGCGTAGAAGTATGTAGCATACAAAGGAAGAAAAAAGAGAGGGAAAAAGGCATCTGAAAGAACGATATTAAGCAGAAATCTGAAGGAGAAAGGATAGCAAGATGGTTAAACAATGGAGTTTAATGGATACTGAGGGTTACAAAGAGTGAATGTATCTTCACCATTAAGAACAATTTTGATACAACTAAGTATGTTTGCTTAAATCGTACTCTTTCTTGTGCTGAACTCTTGACTACAGGTATTCATGCGGCATATATTTGTTTCGAGTCTGGATTCCTGCCTTATTTTAAACTGTGATCTACATTTTGTTTGTTCCTTTACTCAAAGCTACACTTTCATTTTTACAGATCCATATACTCCTCCAGACGATCGTCTTGTTGATTCATGGGGTTTAGGCTGTTTAATATGGGAGATATTTAACCCGTTTACAACTTTAAAAGATCGTGCCCAATTGACAGAAACTACCTATCTGAAAAGCATTCCTAAAGCTTTGGTTTCTGACTATCGAAGACTGGTAGCTGCAAGTGCTACAAAAGGTGGAGTGAAACGTTCTACTGTTGCTCAATTCCTTCGATCAGCTCGTAACTCTGAGAAAGAAGGATTTCTAGCTAATGATTATGTTGATACACTGTTGTTTCTAGAAGAGATTGAATTAAAGGATAGTCAGGTAAGAAGAATTTCTATCGCGCCTCGCAGTTGTCGTCAGTCTAATTTGTTTCATTATGTTTAAAATACAAAATATTAATCACTTACTGATTCGTATTTTACTTCATAACTGTCAAATAGAATATTTAATTCTAGGTTTTTTTTCTTGATAACAGCTTAATTCTACACCGTATTTTTGGTACAAGTATGGAATTTTCAGCATGTGATATCGGTAGCCCAAATTTCACAGGCCGACCATAGATATCAGGTGTTCGTCGGTAGGGGATCGAACCCCGGACCATGTGCATGGTCGGCGAGAGTCCTAACCACTGTACCACCGACGCACGTGATTTGGGCTAATTTTAATCCTTTTAACCAAAATTATTCAGAGAATCATTGAAAAACCAGGGAGCACTGAACAGCTAGCTATTTCGCCCTAATTTCGGACTATTCAGCGATGCACATCCATGGCCCCATCAGGAATTGAACTCAAGACCTTCATGCTATGAGGCCAGCCCATCCACCATTCAGCCAACTGGCCTGGAATTCAATGACTAGTAAATTCCAACTTCTGCCAATTCGTGATATGGCAGCGCTGCCTGTAACCAACGCCACTGATGAATTCCCACTTCATTTTGACTTTGAAAACATCCCTCCAGTAGCCGCCAATGGTGTGGAGATTGATATTTAGACTAGGAGTTATTTAAGGATTTAGATTAATCTCAGTGCTTTTCCAATGACTCTCTAACCGTTGTCTCTTTGTGACGAAATGTACATTAAGATAGAATATTTTTTGTTTTTTTCCTTCACGTTCCCCAGCGGAACATAGGGCTTCAAGCTAGTGGCTTGAAGTTTTTATAGCAGTGTTTATTTAACGGGATGGTGTTGCTAGCCTCATGCCCCAACCTTTCCTCTTCACCAGCATTATTTCCTGCCTAGCGAGGTAGAGGAGTGCGTCAGTCGGGGATCGAACCCCGGACCACATCAGGCGTGGTCGGCGAGCGTCCTAACCGCTATTCCACCGACGTCATAAGATAGAATATTGTGAATAAGATATATTTGTATCCGGAAAGTGTTAAACCGCAGCTTATATGCTATTTGGGGATATTCTTTTTTGCCTCATATGTCACAGAGTGTTGAGTATCTTTGAAGAGTGTTAAATTCAGCAATTCTTTCTAACTCCATGCGAACGTGTAGAAAGATCAAAACTTCTGGTTAGAGGTAATTTGCAAAGAAAAAACCTCAGTTTTAAAATACTTCTAAAACATCCAAGACTCAACTATGTTGTAAAGTATGGAGTAAAATAGTAGAATGCTATATCACCCACACTTATATAAGATGTTTGTTAAATGTATTCATTCCTCAGTGGTTCATTCATTGCTTATCATCTCTGTCATGTGCTCATATATGTAAGTGATTGCCCTCAGTAAAACTAATTTTGATTACTTTTTATGCATATTTTTAGCATAATGCATCATTCGTATTGAAAAAAGCACTGAACAAGTTGTCTAGAAAGACAATGAAACCTTCTCAATTAAATAACCACTCAGCTTATAAATTGAAACCTCACTGGGATCATCCACCTAGGCTACAAATCTCTACGTTATTTCATAAAAGTAATGTCTTTATTAAGATGATACCGGCCAAATAGGTAAGGGGATTTAAAGTGTATTAAACACATATACATTATTAGTTAGAGAACCATTGAAAACAAGGGAGTACTGGACAGCTGTTTCGTCTTAGTGCTTGGGACTTATAGGTAGTACGCATTTACCAGGGTCTGGTTTTTCAGTGGTTCTCTAACTGACACTTATCCTTAATCAAACTTGAAACAAATCGAATCTGGACAAATTAACTCTTGAAAGTCCTTTACGTTTGTCTAGGAAGGGATATAAATAATATCGGAGGCAAATTAAGATTCAAGTTAAATAAAAACATTCCTGAACTGTTTTCTGACACTCTCGATCGAGAATGAGGACAAATACTCACCGTGGACATTGACTGGTGGTGGGGGCTAAAATCACAAATTGGTAGAAATTAGGCCTTATGTGCCATTGAGTTGGGTTGGAGTGGCTGAATGGTCTAAGAGCTCCCCTTGTTGCCGATAGGTCCTGGGTCCTAACCCTAGTGGGTGTGTATTACTGATGAGCCCCAAGCATTAGGACGAAACATCTGTCCAGTACTCCCTGGTGTTGAATGGTTGGCTAACTGATATCAATCTGGGATCAAACTTGGAACCAATCAAATCTCTACAAACAAACTCTTGAAGATGTATTATCACATCTTTAATGTTATTGTCTTTATTTTTTCATCAGTCATGCTTGTTTTGATGGGCGTAATTCTGTTGTGTGTGTTTTTTAACTATGATGTATATTCCGTTTCCTGGATATCTTCGCTATCACAATAAACTTATTGTAATCAGAATGGTGTAACTCCCTACTAATTTTATGTCGTTTTAAATTTGAAGAGTTCTATTGTATATAGATAGCTGCTGTCTTAAAACTGTCTTATAGTAAACGTGCTTTCAAAATCAATCCTTTGTGTCATATAACTATTAGACAACACAGATTTCTTCTAAAAATACAAATTAGTGAAGCAGGAAAAGACAGAGGACCTTATTTTCAACATGATTGAAGACAACGGGCGTGTTTATAAAGGCTATTCTGTCAATGGTATCAACCGACTATCCATGGCTTGGCTACCAGACATTTCTACATCTATCAATTGATGGAGTCAGTCAACTGTCGCCTTTACGCCAACTAATATGGCAATTAGCGGTTAGCTGTTTCACCCTAGTCTGTCACTCTTCAGCATCCGCTTTGGCCAAATGGCTGATTGATCAATGAATTTAGCCTTGTAACGTGAAGTTTCGCGAATTGATCCCCGATAGAGTCGTAAGCGAGTACTGCAGAGTGACAAACTACAATCACATAGCTGTCCAAATATGACACATCTTAAACACTAGTAAGTCTACTTTGATTGGATACTAGTTCAGGTGTCCAACCAAAGTATCCCATACAGTCCTACAGAAAGTCAATCGCTAACCTGAACGTCTCTCATTGCAGTACTGGGTGACACGGATTCGAATCTCAGAAGGTACATGAGTTCCTTCAAGGTTGCAGATACGCCTTGCTGATGAGTGCCAGGTAGCACAAAACCTAGGTCCAAGGCTTCCTGCTGATCGCCTCCAACCATCTAATACACTGGTAAGTATGCTTATGTTCCAGAATCTGTTGAAGAGGTAACTCCGAATTATAGCAACTCAAATGAATGACCGTCCCAATGACGTTGATACATCTTTAACAACCAACCAGATGAGTCCAAATCGAAAACGCGTAATTTAAGATTTTAAAAAAATAGAAATCTAATATAATGTTATATATATCCAAACCAAGTTCACTTTTAACGGTTTGAAAAAATTTGGGCATTGGGTATATGATATTCATTATAATAGAGGTTTTTGTATTTCCCAATGAATGAAAAAACAAAACGAGATTGTTTTTACTGACGTTTCGCTATTTAATGCTAATAGCTTTCTCAAAGTATTATGAAACCGGAATTTACAAAATCTCAGCATATATATAACAAAGAGTTAGGGGGTGAGAAAAATATAGACTTAGTTCAACTTAAAAGGACATATTGAAAGTCAAAATAACAATGAAGATCGTTCAAACCAAATATCAAAGGTAATAGTATATCTGTTATTATATCAAAATAAAGTTCACTAACTTGATCATCGTTCGTTAGTCTGGGGTCATTTTTGGTTGTCAAGTTGGAGAATAGGTAAAGGTAACCAAACTAAGTGTAGGCTGTGAAATACTTGATCATCGTCCGTCAGTCTGGGTCGTTTATTTGTTGTCTGGTAAAGATAACAAAATCAAGTGTAGACTGTTGGATTTTGTCAGTGTGTAGAATTATGAAAGTAGTGTGTGTTTACATAGTGAACTTGCTCATCACGTTTGCGTTGATTTTGCTACTTCATGGGGGAGGGTGTTGTAGCCAGGTCAGATTCTGTTTCAGTCCATCATTCCTATTCAGGCAATTTGGATTCCACTTGATATGAAGTGCTTCTGATATTAGACGTTCTTTGTGGTTTCTGAAGTTTTTCTGGATTATTTCAATATTGTCAAAATCAATTTTGTGGCCTGATTCTATAGCATGTAGACCTATGGCTGACGATTTTTGAAGTTTTTCCAGTTCAACTGGATTTCTCGGTGGCCGAAGAGAAGCTCTACGGTGTTCATTTCTTCTGATTTTGATTTCTCGAGATGTTTGTCCGATGTAGATCGCATCACATTCCGAGCATTTTATTTTGTAGACACAATTAGATTCTCTATCTAATCGTCTCCTTATTTGAGTTTTATATTGATAGGCCAAATCAATGTCCACATAACTACTGTGTGTCATCTTGTTCCGTGACCCATTTACTGCTTCAATCCTCCTCTTTAAGTGACTCCAAAAACTCTTGATGGAATTTTTGTGTGTGTCCCATGTAAAGGATTAACAAAATCATCTATATGACTGACCACATTGTGTATATAACCGAGAGATGGCAGTTGTCTGTAACTACTCCACAGCTTTGTGTATGTAAAGTTGTACCTAGTAGCACTATTTTTTTTTATTCCTTCACGTTCCCAGTGGAACATAGGGCTTCAGGCTAGAGGCTTAAAGTTTCAGGTTTGGGGTTGCTAGTCTCATGCCCAGCCTTTCCTCCTTACCAGCTTTATTACTTGCTTAGCGAGGTAGTGAAGTGTGTCTGTAGCCGGTGATCGAACCCCGGCCCATGTGTATGGCCGGTGAGCATTCTAACCGCTGTGCCACCGACGCACACCTAGTGACACTAAACGTTCTATGATAGGTAATAAAACACTAGCACTACGATCAGGTATCATCTCGATGTATCCTTTCTGCATTGTTGTGTCATACAATCCCAAAACCCATTCCTGATTGGCGTTCAATCTACCGCGTTTATATTTCGTTTTTGTAAGCATTTTTTAGTTCACATGAACTATAATACCAACACAACCAAGTGTCTGAATCATATTGTTCACTTTCCAAGAGATTATATCTTCACAGTGCTGATACCAATGCACTTCCGATACATGTGAATTTCCTGTTCCGAATGCTGGTCTTTTCAAGACCCACTTGTGTAACATCAAGGGAATTTTCGTTAAAGGCAACTTCAGTTTGGCAAAGAAAGCATCTAAAACCTAAAAAAAGAGTGACATATCTTCTCAAAAGGATTAGTGTCTGCTACGACAGTCTAAACACCTGTAGACATACTCATCAAGAGAGGCTGCATTACTCCTCCACATCTCCACATGTTTTATCCCTTCCTATGAGCCTATTATCCAAACGGAGTACTGAAATATTAGATCTGAATGAAATCTACGACGTAATTCGTGTACTCCATCCATACTTCCGTGTATTTACTATGGGATCGTTTGATTGTTTGATCAAGATTATTATTACATCCGCTCATCTGGGTGGCTGTAGTTTAGAGTTACCTGCTGAAGGGACAATACACCCTTGTCTAGGACAAAAGTTCGCCTGGTTTTCACGGATTTGTTTCTCTTGAGAACCACTGGCATTTAAGACCACACACTTAACATAACCACAAATCTACATGGCTTATTAATTTTCATTGTGATTATTATTATTATTATTAATATTAATCATAATTTCCATTTTTCTTTCCTCTTAAGGAAAAGTCCACATTCCTCAAGAATCTTGCAACACAAGTGACAAGTTTTCCAGATGATGTTTGCCGTCATAAAATTCTACCACATTTGGTCAATGGTTTACGTTATGGATCAGCTGGAATTGATGCCCTACTCCCTGTATTACGTCTTATTCCTTTACTGTCTGAAGCTGATTTTCAATCCTATGTTCTACCATGTCTTTTAAAGTTATTTTCATCACCAGAACGTGCAACACGTGTACGCCTACTAGAACATTTACCCGACTTTATACAACATTTACCAACAAAAGTTATTGAAACACAAATATTTACACCAGTTTCTGTTGGTTTCACAGATACTCATCCTATTGTACGTGAAGCTACTGTACGTGCAATGATTCATTTAGCGCCAAAACTTTCAAATAAGCTATTAAATGAAAATTTAATTAAACATATTACTGTATTACAAGTAAGTAATCAATTAACAGATATAATGCTTATATTACTTTGATTTATTTAACATATGACAATGGTTATTTTACGTGTGAAGGTTTAGATAAGGCTAGAAAATGCTACTCGAAAACAACTACCCTAAAGAATTTATAAAACATAACATAAAAAGAGGGTAAAACCGGGGAATAACAACATGGAAGAATGGAAAAAGAAAGTCACAATACCATATAAAAATGGTACATCAGAGGCAATTCAAAGAAACCTCAAAAATATCGGCATTCGAACAACCTTTAAACCGACGAATATAATTAAAAATAAAATAAATCCACTGAAAGATCCCATAAAAATGATGGATAAAAACGATCTGATTTACAAAATATCTTGCGCTGACTGTCCGACTAAATATGTGGGGCAAACGTCCAGATCACTCAAGATAAGAGTGAATGAACATAAACGCCTAACTATAGGTCAACCAATAGGAACATAAGCCTACAAGAATCTTGAAAAAAATTCATCAATAGCTGCACATGCATGGGACAAAAACCACAATATCGATTGGAATAATGTGTGTATTCTAAAAATTAACATGAACAAATGGAAAGAGAGACTTATAACAGAATCGATATTCATTAAGGTCACACCGGACACATGTGACAAGGGTGACTCAGTACAACTATCAACAACTTGGAATGTAATTCTGAATACACAAAATATGAATGAGCAAAAAAAATAATGAACTATATATATGAGTACTAATCATAAATGTGTGAATAAAACAATTCCAACAGTTGTGTGAACACGGGCAGTAATTTTGCTGGAAATATTACCAATAACAAAACTTATCATTGTGTGAATAAGGCATTAAGAAGACAAATTTCGCGAGATGATATCGTCATTTCGTAGTTTCTTTACAACCGCTTTACAACTAACATGGTTAACAATGATAAAATAAAGTTCATGAAAATTACTCAGTTAAATAAAAACAAAAGTACATACTAATGACCAATCATATTAAGATAGGTCATGCAGTCCAGGGTAGGCGAAGATTGAAGTCTATTGATTTTTGTACACACAGTTTAGGCTGTATGTGATTAATCCAAAGTGCTTCCATCACCTTCAATAACCTTGAATTAGAGTTATGTGAAATAATTGTGAAACAGTCATTAATATTTATTTTGTGACCAGACATTAATAAGTGTTTTGCAATGGATGATGCTGGATTTCTACTAAGATTAATCGCGTTAGGATTTTCGATATGATTTACTAGCCATTTTGGAACATGTTCTTTTCGACGACATTGGAACATTCTGTTAGTTCTACCTATATAGGTGTCACCGCAGCTGCAGGTGAACTTGTAGATACAGTTTGAAGTAGAGTCCACAGAATTTCGTCCTTTAATCGTAGGTACAGGGATCGAAAATGTTCGGCAAGTGAGAAAAAGAGATGCGGCGTAGAATGTGCGTTTGATGGCTGACCGAAGTCTTTGAGCTGTCAACTGCATAATCTGGTCGCCCTTGAATGGTAGATTAATAAAGATGGCTTTCTTTGGTACAGAAGCTGTCTTTTCAAGATGTGGTCTATCCTTACCGTGACAATTGATGAAGTTTTCTGGATAACCATTGGCTAGTAAAACTGAATGTATATGTCGAAGCTCATCCATCAATGTGTCACTCGTACATATTTTTCGAGCCCTTGAGAACAAACATTTCACCAGGGAACGTTTATACTGGATAGGAACAAAACTGGTAAAATGAAGATATTGTCCAGTCCATGTTTGTTTACGAAAAATAGAGCGCTGAATCGTTCCATCATTTCTCCTAGTCATAGTAATATCCAGGAAACCGAGTTTGTTATTGGATTCTAGTTCGGATGGATATGATTAAATAGGGTGATAAAGTTTTCAATAGATTTGCTATTATTACTAATAATAAGAGTATCATCTACATAACGTTTGTACAGCATAAATTCTCCAAGCATACCTTGCATTTGTTTCTCTAATTTCGACATAAATATATCTGCTAACAGGGGCCCCAGAGGGCTACCCATTGCAACACCGTCGATTTGTTTGTATGCTTTTCCTTGGAATGTGAATCTAATATTTTCTGTACACATTAAGATGATGTCCTTGATGTACGTTACAGGAATAGGTAAGTTTATCCCGTTGCTTGTGATGTAGTCGCAAATGAAATCAACAGTTTCATGAAGGGGAACATTGGTGAATAAAGATTCTATGTCAATTGAACACATAACCTTTTCCTTAATGTTCAAGGTGTCTAGCATTTCTGTAAGATCAAATGAACTTTTTATAGAATGATTTGATAATGAGTCTCTTACAGGCGTAAGGACCTCTGTAATCCATTTGGCGATTTTATGGTAAGGAGAATTTGACATATCTAAGATGGGTCTCAGTGGGCTCCCAGTTTTGTGGATCTTCGGAAGGCCATAAAGCTGAGGAGTATGTGACCCAATTGCTTTAAGTTGTTTATAAAGTTTTTCATTTATAAAACCATGCATCAGTAAAATTTGAAGCTGACGATTGATCTGCTTTTCCACAAGCAGCACGTTATCAGTAGCATTGTCCACCAGAAATTTGGACTGATCCTTGAGGATATCCTTCATTTTATTTTCATAATCCGATTTGTTCATAATGACAACGCCTTCTCCTATGTACTTTTGTTTTTATTTAACTGAGTAATTTTCATGAACTTTATTTTATCATTGTTAACCATGTTAGTTGTAAAGCGGTTGTAAAGAAACTACGAAATGACGATATCATCTCGCGAAATTTGTCTTCTTAATGCCTTATTCAAATATATCAAAGGGACTAATTGTTTTAATTATCATTGTGTGTAAATTATTGAAATATAATTATACTTTATTTAATCTAATCCACAATGCTCAAACTTTTTATTGATACTAGAATCCTTCTTTTTGTTGAGCGATGTTAGCTGCTAACATAAGATTGAGTTGGAAAAGAGTTAGGGGAAGGGTTAAACCAAATCATGGAATCAATCCGTGAAGTCTTTGACAGTTCATTTGAGCTATTTAGGAAGGTAAAGCACTACCTAATTACGGTCGTTGGGATGCTAAAAGCTAATGGCTGGAGACTGTTGTTGGTGTTATGGTTAAAAATCTCGATCTCAGTGGTACAAATGTATTCTACTCGTTTGTAATCCCCAAATACCTATTAAATCATCTTACTTTTTTCATGTTACTATTATTTCTCCTGTACATTTATACTTTTTATAGCTCCTTTGGTTGTTTGTTTTCCTTTTTTTTATTAAGTTGAAGAGACGTTGGTAGTCATTTCCTTATTTGACATTCTGCTGGCCATCCAGATGACGAGTCCCAATTAGGACGAAATGCGCATGCTGGATTCCACTGCTAGCCACCATCCACCAATTGGCCATTATATTAGTTGCATTCCTATTTCTCGAACAAAATGCAGTATTTCATAAACTTGATTCCCTTGGTAAATTTTGATAAAGAAAGAAAGATCAGATTTACAGTATAAAGTGGCATCATCATTCTATTTCATAGGTTCTCATCATCTGCTGCAAACTACCTGAATTTACAGTGGTTATAAATAATGACATTTCATACTTCAATGTTTGAAAGGTAATAGAGAAAACATTACATGATGAACACATTCAGAATATAAGCATTATAATTTTTAGTTTAAGTCACCATCAATTTATATGCTTTCAAACCTCCTTATATACAGTTTGAAAGCATATAAATTGATGGTAACTTAAACCGAAAAAATGTTCTTTCCCCTTACCTGTATTGGTCATCCCATATCTTGTCGACTTCTGAGAAAATGTCTCCCCTAACCTTCTATATATTGAGAAGTTAAGACAATCAGGTATAACTCAACCTCTGCTTCTGCAATTGGTTAACTCTTATTTATTTATTTATTTTTATTTATTTTTGATTACAGCTTGATTCCACACTGTATTTTTGGTACAGGTATGGAATTTTCAGCGTGGATATCGGTAGCCCAAATTTCCCAGGCCGACCATAGATATCAGGTGTTCGTCGGTGGGGGCTCGAACCCCGGACCATGTGCATGGTTGGCGAGAGTCCTAACCACTGTGCCACCAAGCATCTTACCTATTGTTCTTAACTGGTCTTCCTTTGTCTTTTCTGGGTTACTCAAAAAGGACTATGTCGTATTGTGTAAGGTACTGAGGATTGTCAATAGGGCAAGCGATGTGCCACTGAGTCAGCTTGATACCACATTAGTTGACAGACATCTGAACCCATGCGAGAAATGGTCTAAAACCACACTATGTAACTCTCAGCACCCTCCTTATTCATAATTCTCCCCTTATATCTCATCAGATAAGACTAGAAGTCATTATAAAAGAGTATATACTCGTACAACTAAGTGTGAAAACTCAAAGATACCCTATTTGACCTGCATTCTGTGTGATAGAGAAAGTGTTAAGCGTGAAACTTGTAACTGAGCATTTAATTGGCGGTGGCACTATTTCCATCACCTTATAATTTCATTTATTAATATTATTATCAAACTTTTATGCTTATTGTGTATTTTGACTTTTTGTCTTTTTGTTAATGCCAAAAAGTTAGTATTATCAATTTTGGTTTCTTATACCCTGTAGGGTTTTTCTTCTTGTTGAGTAAATTAGATGCAATATTGTACCGAATGCTGAGTATTCTATGCTGTATCATAATCACTGTTTTGGAATAAAGCAAATCATTATTATTATAGTTCCCTTGGGTTCCTAGTGGAACATATGGCTTCAACTGCACGTCTCCACTTGCTTCTGTCTTCTACTGTACTTTTCACCTGCATCCACGTTAATAAATAATAATAATTTTTCCTTCACGTTCCCCAGTGGAACATAGGGCTTCAAGTTAGAGGCTTGAAGTTTCTGTAGCGGTGTTCATTTTACAGGATGGGGTTGCTAGCCTCATGCCCAACCTTTCCTCTTGACTTGCATTATTCCTGATTTAGCGAGGTAAAGGAGGGCGTCTTTGGCCAGGAATCGAACCCCGGACCATGTGTGGCGAGCGTGCTAACCGCTGTGCCACCGACGCACTGCATCCACGTTAGTCCACTCGAGCAATGGCCTGACGCGCGCGCGATGTCACCCAGCGGCGGCCTCAGCGAGCGAGTGTCCAATCCATCTCAATCCACTTTCTATTGCATATTTGTCGGATGGTGATTGCTTCTTGTTTTGTTTGTTTGTTCCCATTGTTTCTTGTTGGTGATTCTTTCCGGCCCGGTCATCTTATCAGATCTTCAGTACAGAGCGAAGACAGTTGTTGATAAAGGTCTGCAATAGCCCGTTGGAAATATTCTTTGCGACCCGCCCGCCAAGTTTCTGATCCGCATAGAAGAACTGACTGACTTGACGTTTGTATTGAAAATCCGACGGAATTTTTTGTTGATGCTGGCTGAGTGACAAAGATTTCCAGATTGGTTGTTTCAGGCTGATGAATGTGTTTCTCGCCTGCCTTCCCGATTCTCGCTCGATTTGACATCCTCGTCCGTTCTGACTGTCTGTAGTTGAGACAATGCTTCCTAGCTGGATAAGTGAATGAAGTAACCTCTTTCAAATCCCTCCCGTTGATGGTGATTGGCGCTGGATGTTGTTGCTGTTGTTGGTTGGTTATTTTCATCACCTCCGTCTTGTCTATGTTTACCTGGAGTCCTGTCTTTGCTGCTTCTTCGACCATTTTGTCGGTTTTCGCTTGTAAGTTTTCAATTTTGTGTGACATCAAGCATAAATCATCCATTATTATTATTATTACCATTATTATTATATCAGAATGATTAAGCACTTTGTATGTTATGTGTCATTATTGATGTCCTCACAAGTCGATCCATTATTCACCTATCTACTGTCTTTCACTTAGGTGCGTGATGAACAAGGTGGGATTCGAACTAATTCAACTGTATGTTTAGCTAAGCTAGCACCATACTTTTCAACACAAACTCAACGTGGTCCAATGTTGAGTGCTTTTCTTCGTGCAACTCGTGATCCATTCCTACCGAATCGTCAAGCTGCAATAACTGCACTGGCTGCTACACAAGTAAGCAGAGTTTTTCCACATATGTGTTTATTTTCTTTCTTTGTAGTAATACCCAGAATATTACTAGAAATGTGATTTATTTCTGTCAGTTTTGATCACGGATTGATGTCAGTTAGGGAGGGAGCCATTGAAAACGGGGGAGTACACTAGACAGCTATTTCGTCCTAGTTTGAGACTCCCCGGTATTCGAACCCCAGGACTTTCTGATTACAACAACGGAAGAGCTCATAGACCATTTAACGACTGGGACTCAATTCAATGTCCAGTCCACCCATGACCACCAATCCGACCGGGTTTATCCCACTGGTCACGATTTATCACCATAACTTCAGGCAAATTCGTTCTGTAGCCGTTCATTAGTGAGCATCAGAGCCCCAGTGGGGATGTACTGACGAACAGTTACAAACACTGGGACGAAACAGCGTGTCTAGTGTTACTCTCTGGTTTTCAATAATTCTCTGACTAATATCAATCCGTGGTAAGATTTGAAAGGAATCAAATCCGCTTAAACTAACTCTTGAAAATTGATTTTTTTTTCTATTCTTTGGTTTTACTAGAAATATGAATTTTTCTTTTAATTCTTAAATGTTGTTAGGTGTGACTTTATTAATTTCTAAGGTGAAATCAGGTGTTGTTGTTGTTATAGGTGTTTTTGTACACTTTTTTTTGCTATATATTAATCGCTTTGCAGTACAAATTGTAGTGCTAGTTGTAGTAGTAGTAGTGTGGTGAGAGCAGGCTGCTAGCCGATTGGTTGGCACTAATCTACGTTAAGGTCTAGGTCACTAATATGGGCCGTGAGAAAATATGAACAAGCCTGAGTCAACAACCAATCACAGCAAAGTTAACGTGGCAGAATATGATTCGCAGAGAGAACTCTATTTGTCAAGGAATCCCGAAACAACCAATCAGAAGCCTGCGTTTGTCTACCTAAACAACCAATCAGATGACTGCGCTTGTCTATAATAATGTAGTTGAAAGATGTATAAATACGTGTTGATTTTCGTAATAAAACGATCTGTTGCCTGGCCCTTGTCTTCTGTTGTTACAGTAGTAGTGTGACGTGGTGTGGTGTAAGACGCGTAGAAGCACCACTATGAAATCACTCAAATCTAACTAACACACAATATCACATTTTATTGCGCGAATATTTTTCTTCGTTTCTTTTATCGACATTATAATTTTAATTGTACTTATCTAATTGGAAGAATGCTCGCCAACTACATGCTACGTGTCACTTGTTCCGGGGTTCGATTCTCAGCTGATACATTTCTTAACCATTTAGCTGGTAATAAGCGTGGCAAAGAGGGAAGAATGGGCTTGAGGTTAGCAACTTCACCCGTGGATAATAAAACGAGTATTAATGAAACTTCAGAGCTCGAGTTTGAAGCCGTATGCTGCATTCGGAACTCAAAGTAAAATAAATAAATAATCTAATTGCAAAGTTCCATTCGATATTTCATTGTTATTTATTAGGAATTTTTGTTCCCATATATGTGCCAATTCTATAAGATTTCGATAGAGATAGCGTCGCTCAGTTGCGTCTGTTCGAGATAGCCCATGAAGATGTCTGCTAGAATGGGTCCTAGGGGTGAACCCATGGCGACCTCGTCAGTTTTTCGGTAGATTTGGTTATTGAATCTAAATTGGATGTCTTTTGTGCAAAGAATTAGTAGCCGTTTCATCTCTGACTCCGGTAATGCCAATAGATCTCTTTGTTTACAAATGATATCTATTGTTTCCATCACTGGTACATTTGTAAATAAGGCAGTCACGTCGTATGACACCATCAGTTTATCTGATATATCAACGTGATCGACTTCTTTAGAAAATTGGAAGGCTTTTATCCAAGCTATGATTTGAAAATTTCTGTCGGATTGGCTTCAATGAATCAGCTAGCCATCGGGCTAGTTTGTGGCATGGTGAGTTTATCATTGATAATATGGGCCTTAAGGGCATATTGGCCTTATGGATTTTTGGTAGACCGTACATAAATCAGAGTCGTCCACCCTTTGATTTGAGTTCATTGTACGTTTTGTTGCCAATCAGTTTCTTGATGAGTAGTTCTTTGAGGTATTTATTTATTTTATTTTCGAATGACGTTGTTGCATCCTTCTTGGTTTTGTCCACTTGAAATTTTCCGGAGTCGTTAAGAATTGTCAACATCCTATGTACATAATCAGTTTTATTCATTATAGCAATTCCAGAGCCTTTGTCGGGTCTAAACATGACGATATCATCATTTTCACATAGTCTCCTTAGTGCCGCTCTATGCTCCTCAGTAAGCATATTTTGTTTTCCGGATAGTGATGTGTGGTATTGGTTGGCTATATCAACCAGTTTGGACTCTAACCATCCTCGTGTGTCTTCATCCACAGGTCGCAGGTCAGAAAGTTGATGGTATAAGTATTCAAACTGCATTTCTGTATCACTACGTTTTATATGTTTCTTGGGGATGTGAAACGTGATTCCCAAAGATAAGACTTCTAATTCAATTTTGCTCAATTGTAAATTTGACAGATTACAAACGTAACGTTCAGGTGCTTCTGGGAAATCTTCAGTTAACTTTTCCTTGACTAATGCCTTTGTCAGTTGATTTTCATATTCTTTTGCAGTCTTGGACTGTAATTCTTTGACGAAGTTCATGAATTTGAGCCAGCAAATAATATTTAGCTCATTTATTATGGTATCATAAGTAGCCAGACTAGACTTCAGATTGGAAAGATATTTATACGAGGATTCGATATGCGACTTTGTTATCCGACGAAGGTTCTTTTGAGTAGGAGGGAGTTTAGATGTTCGAAGTTGTTTCAAGAATTGTCGTGGGAAACAACCTGTTTTCAGACATTGTTCGTAGAACTTGATCCTTGTCGACTCTGTCGATATTCTGCATCTCAAAGTCACTACCTGATTCAGTGACTTAATAGTTTTGGCAGGGAGACGTCTTTTCAAAAATTTCATACATTTGGTTCCCTTGATAAATTTTGATAGAGAAAGAAAGATCAGATTTATAGTGTAAAATGATGCTATCATTCTATTTCACAGGTTCTCATCATCTGCTGCAAACTACCTGAAATTACAATGGTTATAAATAATCACATTTCATACTTTGATGTTTGAAAGGTAATAGAGAAAACATTATAAGATGAACGCATCTGGAATATAAGTATTACAATTTATAGTTTGAGTTACCATCAATTTATACACTATCAAACTATGAAAAAAGGGGGAGTGGGCAGAGAAGACACAAAACAGAAAAATCTAATAAACAGTGTCAACATGGCAACTCAAGAAGGTCAAAGTTCATCAATATGTAAACTTGCTTAGTGAGCTGAGCTCACTAGTGTGGTATGACTAATCAGTGTAATGAAAGTGATATAGTTACCAAGGGAGTGAGAGATTGACTACACTCTCCCTTTCTGTCTGCATTAGTTCGGTCAGAGACGTTTGACTGCAATTGCTTCAGCGAATCGTAGTAAATTTGCTGTCCTTTGTATGTTTAGTATTTCGAAGGATTTTGGAAATGTCGACAAAATGATCCTTATCCACAGGGTGGGTGTCTGGTAATCGCAATTTGTAAATATCTGCTTCCTTTTAAGCATAAGTTTCTCGGAAAATGCCCTGAAAACTGAATAAAAGCCCTTCTTTCTGTCCTTCCTATGTACTTGCTGCCGCGGGTGCACGTAAACATATAAATACAGTTGGACGTAACATCAGCAGGGTAACTATAATTGTACTATAAATTGTAATACTTATATTCCAGATGCATTCATCTTGTAATGTTTTCTGTATTACCTTTCAAACATTAAAGCATGAAATGTGATTATTTATAACCATTGTAATTTGTTATAACTGTAGGGAATTGAATGAAAACGTTGTCACCTTATTCTGTCTGCGCCTGAACTAATCTGTCTATCTGCTTGACGTACCTTCCGACTTAGCAAAGCACGCAAATATCAAAAGACAAAGGCTGGACTGTGACTGTGTATTGAGGTGCAACAACGATAAAGAAAGCCATGGTATTTATACATTTTACAACAATATGGACAGCTAACAGCATTTGAAATAATTGACCTTAATAGCCAATAACAAAGTGTGTGAGAAATGCTAATATGCCATATGTGCGACATTGACAGTCAGTAACAAAATGTGTGGGAATGATATACCATATATACAAAATTAGCAGTCACTACCAAAATGCGTGAGAATGATAATATACAAAATTAGCAGTCACTACCAAAATGCGTGAGAATGATAACATACCATATATGCAAGTTTAAACAGTCAATACCAAAATATGTGGGATCCTATCACCTCCCCCCGTAAAGAGTGTAGGACTTGCTTTTTGGATCTATTTGAAAAGGTTTCGGAGCTCTTCTTTGTCGAGTTGACCTTTGCGTGGTACTGGATAGAGCGTGATCTGTGTGTCTGCCACATAACTGTCCTTTTTCATTCGTACGATAATGCAGCAAGAATTTATCCAAAATTTTTTTCTGTTGTTCCCTCCCCCTTCGCTTTTGCATAAGCACGCTTAAAGGTGTCGACGAAACGTTCAGTAATAGTTGACGTAGGAGGGACACTGTTGCAATTGATGTGGCAGAATGCATAGGAAATATCTCTGGCCATTTGGAAAACGCGTCGACACATATTAAGAAATGCATACTATTGAACGGTCCAGCGAAGTCAACATGAACACGGGACCATGGTTTGTCCGGTCGTGGCCAGGAACATAGTTCTGTCTTGCGTGGACACTTTGATGCTTGAGCACATTTACTACACTTGCGAACGAGGTCTTCGATATGGTCATCGATGTTGGGCCAGTAAACATAACTGCGAGCGATCGCCTTCATTCTCCCAACACCAGGATGTGATATATGAAGCTGCCGAAGCACATGGTCACGAAGATTAGCTGGAACGACAACACGATCAGCAAACATTATGCATCCATTAACGATGGATAGGGATTTGCGTCGCTGGTAAAACTGTTTTAAAACATTTGA